CCCTTCCTTTTCTGTCCTATTAAACTGCCTTTATCTCAACCCATGAATTTTACTTTTTTTTTTCCCCTATTCTCTCCCCCATCCCACGGGGGGTGGGGGAGTGAGCGAATGGCTGTGCGGTGTTTAGCTGCCTGCCGGGTTAAACCACAACAAGCTGTCACCAGCCCACTCAGCCAGTGTGCCGGGCTCGGCTGGCTTGTCCCACCTCTGCCAGGGCCATCCCCAGTGCTGGGGAGGGCTGGAGGTGACAGCGAGCAGATGAGCTCTGCAGTCACCGGGCTCCTTTTTGGTTCCATGTCTGGGAATTGCCGGGACCCGTTGATCCCCGCCTCTGAAATCCCAGCTGCATGGCTTGCTCCGAGGCAGCAGGGTGTCCCCAGAGGGGACAGCTCTCAGCAAGGGCACCGGGGCAGGGGGGCTTGTGGCTGCACCGAGACCTCTCCTGGTGCACAGGCGGGGCTGCCGCGCTCTGTCCCTGCTCCTGTGTCTCCATGCAGCCCTCGGGATGTAGGGAGGCAGGAGGAGAGTGGGGGGCCCTGCAGGATCAGCGCCCTCCTGCCCAGGGAGGGACCCGAGGGACCCTGCTGCTATCTGGCTGCAGTGGCGCCCGGGGACCTTTCCGACACTGTCCCAGTGCAGAGGATGCTCTCCCCAAGCCACAAATACCTCCAGGACACAAAACAAGCTGCCTTGAGCCCTGGCTGCCCCCAGCACCTGCACCCCCACCCTGGCACAAGCTAGATGGGTGGGCGGATGCAAACCCCAAAAACCTAAACCTCTGGGGACTGCCATGCCTCAGCCAGACACCTTTTCTCTTTCATCCTAAGGCAGCAGCCAGCCTGGAGGTACCAGGTGACCTGGCCTGGACCACCACCCCATGCCATGCATCCCCAGAGGCACCAGGCTGCAACCTCAGACCCCCTGTGACACCCGAGGCAAAGCCAGCTCTCCAGGGACCCTGTGGGTTTGCCCTGCGTGCCCTGTAAGACAAGGAGATGAGCCCCAGAGACGGCACCTACCGGAGAAGTTCCTGGTGGCCAGCATGGTGGTGAGGATGGCTCCCTGAAAGACACAGAAGGCAGAAGGAAAGGGTGTGCTGGGCCCCGGCCCCCCGCACCCCTGCCGCTCCCCCCAGCCCTGGGGGAGGAAAGCCCTGCGCGTCACCTGTCCCTCGGCCACCTCGCTGGAAGGAAATTGGCCCACGGGGCTGATATTCTCCTCCTGTCATCAAAAGCAGCCCTCAGTACCCAACTCCATATCCCCAGCGCAAGGGCGTTGGGTTGCATTCTCCGAAACTGCTTTCCCTCCAAGATTAAAGGGATATTAAATATCCCTGGGGCACATTTCGGTCTCGCTTTACCCTGCCCTAGATGTAGCACGACTCCGCTGACCAGGGCCAGCAGCTGGCAGGGAGGGGAGCCACCGGGAGCGGAACCGGATTTAATTGCAATTAAAGCTGTGCCAGCTACGAGCAGCAGGGCAGGAATTTTTCATGGGAGCCACACAAAGATCACCACCACAAAATAACATTCATAAAAATGTTTCCTCTTTTCCAGCTGACTCTACTAACTAGTTGCTCAGCGTATAATGAGATTACTTTGGACTAATTGCTTACAGTAATGGATTACTATTTTGAAGTGTATGCCTGAACTAATTTGATTACTTGTCTAACTGAAAAGTAATAATAGGTTATAGCCAGTTTCTTTTCTTGATAATCTTGTTAGTAGCCTGCAGCTGTACTGCTCTGTGCCACATCACGTTCAGGCCTGGAGCGCTGATGGCTCTGACAGCGCTGTGTCTCCGGCCCTAGAGGAGGCATTGCGATTTCCAGAGCCCGTTCCCAGCACCGTGCTGCCGGCTGGGGCTGAGCAGCACCCAGGAGATGGGTGCTTCAGGGAGGTGCTCCAGCTCGACGGCGAAGCCTGGGGAGATGGTGATTTCAGACGGCGTACAGGCTGTGGTACACGGCAGCATCCAAGAAGGGAAAGCCTGCGGGGCTGCTGGTGTGGGCAACCAAGCCAGAGCTTTTTGCCTGTCTATGGATGACTTTGTTCCTTGGCTGCAACGTGGTTTGGTCATCAGGCAAAGGGGTCTCACTGTGCCTCTCAGATCCATGTCCTGCCACAAAGAGGAGCCTTCTTTACACTGATTCCAAGGGGAAAGTCCTCGCCTCAGTGTCCCGGACAGCTGTGTGACTCAGTGCTTTCCTTCACCATGGCTTTCCTCTAAGCACTTGGGAACCCCCGACAGATGCAGCCACCAGTCCACTTGGCCTCTTTTCCCTTCTTCACAACGGGGATCCCCAAATGCCCATCAGCCCTATACCGCTGACCCAGAGACACCACCCTGTCCTTTCCCAGTCAGGAAACAAACTCCCCAATGACCTTATCATGCATTTTGCAGCCAGCTTGGAGACTATGAGAGTTACCTTCAGCTTCCTCCGGGCATTGAACTTCTTCAGACAATCCACCGTCTCCTGCCTGTGCATGCATGACGCCACGGTGGCACGGTGCTGGGAGGAGAGAGACTCGGCTCAGAGCAGGCGCCGAGGGGGAAGGGGCTCCCCCGGCCCCACTCTCACACGCCCGTACACGTGTGCGGTCTCCCGCGGCTGAGGCACAGGCCAGAGCTGCCTGCAGCATCAGCATCAGCATCAGCATCAGCTAAAACTTTAATAGGCAGCGGGAGATCAAAGCTCTGGAGTCAGCAGGATCTGCTCTGGCGGTGGGGGGGTTTGCAGGGAGAGCTGGCTGCCCCCTGAGTTAACCCCTCGACTGACCGGCCAGGTTTAGGAGCGTGCTCAGGGTTTGCACGTGGTATGGGGTCCCAGGGTTAAGCCCGTGGACTCCTCCTGCCTTTAGGAGCTGATTCAGAGTGAGAACCAGCAGCCAGAGCAGCGGGGTGCAGCGAGGGCTGGGGAGGGATTGCTGCTGGGGTGTATGGATGGATAAACACGAGCCTGCTCCCACCCTCCCCAAGGAAAGGCTCCCCCAGCGCTGCATGACACCAAGAAACCAGCCTGTCCCCACCAGGGCTGGGAATGTGCCTGTCCCTCCCATCAGCAGCTCCCCTGGGACACACTGTTTGCATTCACACTCCAGGCTTTTCTCTGCTGTAAAGCCCCGGGGAAAAGGCTGCTCTGAGAGCACTGGGGGGAACCATGCCAGGAAAACATCTTCCCAGGATGGAGAAAAGAGTCGGACAGCACGTTTGTTAACATGTGCTCCCCAGTGAGATGTTCCCCCCTGTGAACTCCCACATCTCTGGACCTTCGACCCCAACCGGTGAGTGCCACCAAACTCACCGATATCCAGGGGTGCTTCAGAGCCTCCGCTGCCGTGATGCGCTTGGACGGGTTTATGGTCAACATCTTGTTGATGAGATCTTTCGCTTCAGGAGTGACCGTGTCCCACTCAGGGGAAGGGAACTGCCAAAGCAAAGGGACCGGGGTGAGAGGTGGCAGGGAGCAACAGAAGGAGCAAGAAGCCCTTTTGCATTTGGGTTGGTTCTCCTGCAACCCTTTGCTCCTGCCCATGGGACAGGTTGGAGAGACAGTAGCAACTGGAAAGAGCTGCCAGCTGGAAAACTGGAGAGCAAGGGTGGATGGAGAAAGGTGGAAGGCCCAGGACAAGACCTATCTGTCCGGCAAAGTGGACCTGAAACGTGCCAGTGTGTGCACCTGGGCACGGCAGCTTGGCCAACCCTCTGTGACCAGAGCAGAGAAAAGAAACTTGCTCCTGTCTGTCTGAATTTGTCCTGGTTGCTCTTCTGGAGCAGCAGCCTGCAACACAGGGACAGCAGGGAAGAGGGGAAACAGTGAAAGGGGGGGAGCAAGACAAACCCACTCACATCATAAGCCCCAGCCTTGATCTGCTGGTAGAGTCGGTGCTGGTCTTCATCCCAAAAGGGCGGGTACCCGACCAGCAGGATGTAGAGGATGACGCCTGCCCGGGAGAGGAGATGTGAGATCAGTAAGAGAGAGTTCATTGCTGGAGGTATGAACAGACCCAGCCTGGGGACTGGCCCAACTCAAGCAGAGAAATTGAGAAATTAGGGAAACAGGAGGATTTGCTCCCCGATTAAAAAGCAAAAGGCTCGCTGATGGGTCCAGCTCCACGCTGACGTGCTCAGCGGCTGGGGAAATACATGGCTCTGGCAGCCACCATGCACAGCCTCGAGCCAGGTGCCCCATCAGGGCTGGGCGATGCCTCCTCCCCATCGCTGGTGGAAGAAGGCTCCCCTCTGGCTGCAGCTACGTGGAGGCATTGCCTGAATCCAAGGGCACCGCAGGGCAAAAGAGCCGGCATCTCCCCTGCCTGGGGGCTTTGGGTGCATAGCAAGGAGGCTGATCCTTCAGAGAAGGGTGCCACTGGACTGGGAAAGAGGGTGCTGCTCTGGGGACAGCCCAGGGTAATGTGCCACCTCTTGGGTAAACCCTCCACCTTGACCTCCCCGAGACATGTCTAGCAACTGCAACTTGGGACAAGCTGGATCAACAGCCTGCCTCATCCCATGCAGCCCAGCCCAGCCTGCTCCTGGCATTTCAGCCCCGGTCTGACTTACCGCAAGCCCACAGGTCCACGGCTTTGCCATAGGGATCCTTCCGGAGCACCTCGGGGGAGAGGTATCCCGGGGTGCCAGCGAAACCTGGGACAGACAGCCCGTCATGCACCACTGGCAGGTAGCCCCCATCCTGCACAGCTTGCCTGGTGCCCGACCAGCTGCTGCAAGAGCCGAGAGCCCTGACACACGCCGAGCCGGAGGGACGGGCACCCTCCCTCCAGAAACCTCCGTGTCTCCCGAGAGCAGAGCAAACAGCAACAGCCAACAACAGCAGACAAACCCCAGGATGGTGCAGAAGGCTGGGGTGCTCTGGCATGCACCTCCAGCACTTGGACGAGGCTTTCCTTCCCCGGGTCTGCCCCTGCCACCAGCTTGTCCAGCTCACCAGGACATCTCGGTGACTCACCGAGTCCCTGTGGAGCTGTTTGCCTGTGCCCTGGATCAATACCGGGCTGTTTCCAGGGGCACAGCTGGAGCCATCGAACTCCTCCTCACCCACCATGCCTCCCAGGCTGTGCTGCCGGGGCACTCCCATAGCCCAGGGTTCAGGTTCTGGGGATGCGTGTCCCTCCTGGAGCCCCCCCCTGACCAAACACACCAACAAGAGCTAGAGTACGCCCCGCCTTGGGCCAGTCCTACTCACCAAACCACGCTTGCTGGTCCCCCTCCACCTCGATGGCAAGGCCGAAGTCAGCCAGCTTGACGGCGGCACCCTTCAGCTTGGATGCCAGCAGCAGGTTCTCAGGCTGCAGGAGGAGACAGGGGTTGGAGAGGAGTGAAACCCCACCGGGGGCTCTGCTGTTGCGGGGGAGCTTCCCAGCACAGCACGGAGGAAGGTCAGGGCTCTGGATGTGCTACCCGATCTGTTTGTCCTGCTGTGTGTCTCAATGTCCGTGGATCTTTAGAGGACCATGGACTACAAGGACCCCCCTACGCCCTCTCCCTCGTGCTGTTTCACCCTGGAGCTGGTCTGCTCTGTGGCTTTCCAGAAGCCCTACATGGTGTTCCTCCCTGCTGTGTTTCAGCTGCCCTGGAGGACCTTGGGCATTGCTCCACAGGGTTTTGCATCACAGGTGGGGTCCCCACATCCTCCCACAGGCCCTTCCCCTGCAGCTCCTACCTTCAGATCCCGGTGGACCACCCCCATCTGGTGGCAGTGCAGGACAGCCTCCAGGATCTGCTGGATGCAGTGGCTGTGGGAGAAAGAAGAAAGCTCACAGAAGTGTCCAGCGAGGCAGAGTTTACTTAGACACTTCTACTTGGCTGCATTTCATCCCTGCTGCCCCTCTCCCCATCGTGCCTCCCACCAGCAGCCCTGCAGCACAGCTCAGCGTCCCCCTCCACCGAAAGCCACCCACCCGTGGAGAGCAGCCGTAACCCAGTAAGACCCACCAGAGCTGCTGGACACCCAACTGCGGTGAGCAGGAGCACGGGGGCTACGGCAGAGCCCATGGGGTCCCCAGAGAAGCAACACCGGGGAGCTGGGGTCAGCGGGGTTCCCCAAGCTGGCAGGGAGGAGCTTCCTCCTTCTGGCTGGAGTCACAATGCCAGCCCAGATTTGGTCTGCAAACCCAGGCAAAGCAGAGGTGCTTCTCAGATGTAGAGCTAACCTTCGCTTCGGCCCCATTTCCCTGGCCTCCTCTAACATGGGTGGCTCTTGCTGCATCTGTTTGCTTTATATCTAGTTCATTAAACCCCAGCTCTGCTGCATGCGTGAGAAAGGAAGGGAAAAAGACTGAGGCGATGATCACTTCTGCTCCAGAACAGCTGTGTGCAAGGCAGAAGGTCTTTATTTACATGTATTTTATTTTATTTGTATGACACTAATAAGTGGACGGGTTGTAAGTGGATTTAGTGTGGGCAGCCCATTAAATGAGCTTTCTGCCGAGAAATAAGGGATATTTCCATGCAGACAGAGGTAGCGTAGAGCTTACCACCCCCTTGGACACTTGTACAGGCTATGCTTATCCTGAGGGCAAAACCAAGAGGCACAGTGATATCTGGAGACTGGAGAGGGCCAAATCATGTCCCCTCAATAAAATGAGGCTGATGCTGTCCCCTGGCCGAGCTGCAAGGACCAAAAGCATGGCTGAAATGGTACCCAGCTCCCTGCCTCTGCGGCAGGGTACCTGGAAAGTGCCAGTGGGAGCGTGGGAGGGAGCGGAGCTCCAGCACATCCTCACACTCAGCCTGTCTTGACTGCTCCTCCTTAGTGCTCTCAAGTGGTAAATGCCAGAGAAACGCTTGCAAACGACTGTAATGCAGCTGCAAGGGGAAAGGGTGAGGACTGCTGGGTGTCTGTGCTATCACGCTCCGATACTGGGCTTCCTCCCTGCCAGCTTGTCCAGCCCCGCTGTCCCCGCTCCTTTGCGGGGAGGCCAGGTGCGGGCTGTGCCATCAGCCCGGGGAAGGAGGATGCTGCGAGCGATGGCTAACAGGTGCCTGGTTCGAGGGGGGGGACCAGCCCTGCGGTAACACATGCACTTCTTGGCACAGAAGCTGAGTGAGTAAAACAGAGCTTTTTCTTTTTTTTTTTGCACTACACATCTGGTTCATGAGTACGAGCTGCAGAGCAGCTGTAAAACACCTCCCAGCATGGAAGGAGCTTATGCTGCAGAAAGCCAGACACATCGGACCCTGGGAGGGAGCAGTTTGCGGGAGAAAAGGACAACTGCTACCCCCTCCGTGGCCCGGCGTGTGTCCGTGCTCACCTGGCATCCGCTTCGCTGTAGTACTCCCTTGCCACAATGTCCTCAAAGAGCTCCCCGCCGGTGACCCTGCGAGAAAACGGGGGGAGTCACGCTCGGCCATGTCAGCCCAGCACGCAAGGGAGCTGGATTGATTTACAGCACGCTCAGCCCTGGCAACCCCCCCCCTTCCCCCTCAAAATGCCGCTGCACCGTGCACGGGGGGAGCGTGGGGGGTGCAGGGCAGGGACCTGCCCTCTGCCCGGCTTGGGGGACCCAAGCTTGGTTTAAACCCTGCCCAAGAAAGGCTTGGGTGAGGTGGAGGACAGGGGAAAGCTCGGGGCGGGGGGGCTGCGGGGGTGCAGGGCGCATTGCCCTGGGGTGGAAGCATGCAGCTGCCGGTGGATTAAGAGATGCATTTAACTGTTACTCACAGGTCAAATATCAGGTAGTGGTGGCCCTCTTCGGAGATGCTGTCGTGGAGCCTCACTGCAGCAGAGACAGAAGGGTTATGGGGTACGCCTGGGTCCCACCCCGCTCCCCGGGAACGCCTTTGCTCCCCTTTGGGCACAAGCAGGAGCTGGAGGAGGGCAGAGCGGGGCTATTCCTCTTCCCTCCTCCTCTTGCTATTGCCGCTGGCTGGGTTTGGGGGGGGTCCCCGCTCAACAGGGGACCCCAGCCATGGCCCCAGCCCCGGGCAGCAGTGCAAGGCTCAAAGGTCATGTCCAAATCAGGGACTGCCCGGGGCTGGTGCCTGGCCGAGGTCCCGAGCAGCTGCTGGGCTATCTTGGGCACTGGGCAGGCTGCAGGCACGGGTGCCCCCAGCCCTCTGCCCCATCAGGAGAGGTGCCCGGGTGCAGGGAGAGCTCAGCCAGGGCACTGGGCTGCCAGCCCTGGCACCGACGGGGATTTTTTTATTTTCTGCTCATGATCTTCCTTTTCTCCTTGGGAGGTCTCAAGTCGGGGATATCCAGGAATCACCATGGGATGAGATTCCTTCGGAGAAAGCGCTCTCCCCGTCTCCTCCCGCTGGGCTGGCATCTCGCCCCGCTCATCGCGCCGAGAGGCACCCTCTCCCCTCAGGCACGTCTTGCCAGGTGCAGCCGGGTGCAAACCTGCCACCCCGCAGCTGGGCTCTGGTTATTCAGGCTTAGATCCCTGCTCACAGCTCAGCAGGCAGATGGGCAGCGAGGGGAAAGGCACAGAAACAGGTAGGATGTATAGAGACTGGTCCAGCATCCTCTGCCCCCACCTCACATTTTGTTCTGATTTCCTTGAGGCTGTAAATATTTAACCCTTCCTCTCTGCTCAGTTGGTTTCAGCCCGATACGACTTTCAACATCTTTGAGATCTTTGGAAACCAGGGAGGAAAAGGAAACATTCAGGCGAATGATTTTGTGGGAATTTTTGCTCCTAGCCCATTTCACCGCAGCTAAGTCAGCTGAGCCCTGCATGGAAACACCTTCCAGACTCGAGTCTGAGCCTGGGGAGATAACAAGCCCCGCCACCGAGTACAGACACTGCGCCGCATCGCTCTTATCTCCCAGGCCAGCAAACGCCAAACGCTGCTTTGCTAGTCCTACCCCTCCCTCCAGGCTCAGTGGGCAGATGCAGCCACTGCTGCGAGAAGCTGCCAGCGGCATCGCCTCACCCTGGCCAGGGCAAGGGGCAGAGGACGTCTGCTGAGCCGGACGGCATCTTTCCTCCTGGTCTCTCCTACGGTCTTGACTATGGACACAATTTTCTCATCTTATTCCCTGGTTATCCTTCCCCACTGCCCGTCTCCGCAGACATCCCCTGTGCTCTGACACCTGTGTCTGCTCCCTCTTTTTCTCCAACACATAATCCCAGTTTTTCTGCCTTCCTCTGCTGCAAGAAACACATTTCCTCCCGTTTCATCTCACCCAAGAGGGGTTGGGGGTATTGCACCTGGGATCCCGCAGAAGCCAAAGTGTTCAAAGGAGGATTAGGCAAGTTCGGTGCAGACAGGGCCAGCCTAACTATAAGCAGATGGTCCGGATACGTCCCCTGCTTGGGGAAGTCCCAATGCCTGTGGCTGCCAGGAGCCAAGAAGGTATAAGAAGGAGCAGCCACTCTAAATACAGGCTGATCCTACAAGTATCTGTTACTGGTCAAAGTCAGAAAGAGCCACGCCAGCCAAACCGCCCCAGCTCAGTGCCAAGAGCCAAGGCAGGAGCAGGACACAGCTTTGGGACTGAGAGTCAGAAGACGACGCGTACCCGGAGTTAAAACTCCAGCACTGGGCGTAGCCAAAGTTTCCCCAATAAAGCAAGACTTCCCTGCAAGGACACGCAGCTTTGGGAAACGGTAGTTTTCCCTAATACATCGCCCTGTCCCGTGGATGTGCTGCAAGGTTGTGGGGACCCGGACCTGCCCTCCACCGCCTGTGCACGGCTTTCTATGCAAGCCTCTCCTCCCGGCACGGTGCAAAGCACAGGTTGGTTCCTCCAGGATCACAGCTGCAGCACGGCATTCCCACGGGAGACGGAGCGACCCACCTCGCTGCAGGGCACGAGTGAGGGGCCAGCAAAGCCCCTCGGCAGCTGGGGTGCTTCTCGCAGGGAGGGATGGAGAGGGGTTTTCTGCCTCGCCTTCCCCATGCCCCTGGCAGCAGTGGCTCCTCTTCCTCTCGTTAGGGCTGGTCTGCAGCGGCACAGCTCGTTCCAGCTCCTGGGTGGGTAATTAGCCAGCTTGTGCTGCATGGCAGGGAAGCTGTGAGCCCAAGTTTCCAGGCAGCAGGAGCAGCGGGGGGGTGAGGGTGTGGGGTGGGGGGTGGGGAAGAGCCTCCTGGGTATAAATAGCATGGAGATTGGGCTAGTTAGGATCTCATGCCGTTAACCCCTTCCAGCCCTGTGCAGCAGGGTTGCTCGAAGCCTGCCATCTCTGCAGGTCATGGCCGCATGGCAGGGAAGCTGTGAGCCCAAGTTTCCAGGCAGCAGGAGCAGCGGGGGGGTGAGGGTGTGGGGTGGGGGGTGGGGAAGAGCCTCCTGGGTATAAATAGCATGGAGATTGGGCTAGTTAGGATCTCATGCCGTTAACCCCTTCCAGCCCTGTGCAGCAGGGTTGCTCGAAGCCTGCCATCTCTGCAGGTCATGGCCAAACAGCGAGGTGTGGTACAGGGGTGGGGGAGAAGGCACAGGGGGGCTGAACCACACAACAAGGTGTTTCTGTCCCCGGAGACCCCACCAGCCCCATAGGCAGGTGATGAAGAGTAAAGGGAGGAAGACAGTGGTAGGGAAAAATGGGCCAGGCTGGGAGCCCAGCGAGCTCTGGCTGCATGGCCCAACTACCGTCCTGCAAGTCCTCCTGGGGTGGATTCCTCTGTTTTCAGCATTTCTTGCTATTCATGCACTTTACAGTGTGTTTCCTTCACGTCTTAGCAATCCCCACGTGTATTTTGGTGCAGAGGAAAGGCCCCGGCTGCTGCTCTGACGGGGACAGGCTGAACTCCCCGCCGGGACCCCGGCAGGGCAGCTCCTGTGCGGGGCATTGGTCCTGCCGGAGCAGAGGCAGGGGG